AATCTTACAGAGTTCTCCAAAAGCTCCACCATAACACCTTAAGCTTGGGTATAAAGTAGAATCCTTTCCTCGTGTCGATCCCAACACCCCGGTGGTAGACCGAAAACTGCGATATTATTAGCATGGATTAAATGGTGGTTAACTTACTAAGTTCTCAAACAAGTTGCTTCCTCCAGGAGCATTTTGTAGCAGCTGGTTGTCTAGCTATGATGTATGATAGAAGTCATTGATCAAGCTAGATAGTGTACAAACTCACAGCACTGACCTTGGATTTTTTGTAGCCGATTTTAAGCCGGAGGAGGTACTTGCTGTGCTTGGCCTCTTTCCACTCCACCTCAGTTACCTGCTGGAAATTACATTTCTCCAAAACCTGTGCATGAGAATCGGAAAAAAAAAAAAAAACCATTGATTTGGTCGTCAAAAGCACGATATTTCTTTTGGTTTGTGTATCGATTTTACGCTGTGGAAGCTCCCGAGGAACTTCTTCTCTAAATCCCTCGCGCCAGGCTCCGAATCCTTGAGCTTGTTGGTTGCGTCCGTGGGATGGAAGTGTGTCTTATGAAGTTCCTATCAATAACTCAGACCATTGTAAACCAATTCCTGATTATAGATCTGGCAAGCTCACCACTAGATCCTTCAAAGCTTCTTCAGTCATCTTGGTGATCTCGGCTTTCATCAGGGAGCACAGATCTTTGAAATCCTGCGCCTCTTCGACTCGATCTGTTTGTGATCATGTCACACAAAACTATAATTACAAATGGATTGATACCAGCAAGCTTTTGCTCCAAGGTGGTGGTGTCGATCATAATCGCGGGTCCTCGCCGGACTCGCACCAATCTGGGAGACATTACAAGATAGTATTCGAGATTTCGAGAGAAAACACAATGTAGCATCCAGTACAAAGAATCGCAGCTTTTGCTATCTACAAGCAAAAATTTCAGTAGATTCCCTCAGAGCTTACGTTTTGCCGAGAATATTCCAGTGCTGTATTAGATTGGAATAATTAAGCAAAGATTCGGATCGATTCTCGTTAGAAACTTGGTTTTTTGTACGGAAGTCTTCGTCCATTTGAGACCAGCACGGCCCAAGTTACAACGAAGAAAGCGAGTTCTCTCTTGCAACATCGCCAGCTCTCCTGCCCGCTGCTCCGATCATCCCGTTCGCGCGAAGATCCTCCAGCGTCCGGATCGCGTCCACCTCGCTAATGAGTACGGCCTCCCACTGTCTCTTTTGCTCCTACGTACGGTAAATCCAAAGATCACGCTCGCCCAAACGTGTTCGTGGAGCTCCTTACCTCGGGTTTAGAGGCTACATTTGCTTGGGCAATCCAATCAATCGCGTAATTTCCTCAGTCCTGACAAGGCTCCACTGCCCTGAGAACCTTTCGTGATATTCCGTGCGCGGCACATTGAAGGGATTCGCAGATCTTGCCTTCATGGCTTTCTTTTCCATTTGCCAACCTCGCCCTTGTTGCTGCTCTCACTTTTTGCTGCGCGTTTAGACCTAGCATTGGCCTGGAAACTAACACATCGCAACTTTGCGACGAACTGAAGAGTATGCTTGCGTGTAGTAAACCTTGAAGCCACATTACACTGCCAGCTCAGAACTCACAACAAGGCCCGTTTGCGCACTCTCCATTGAGAGCTCCAATTCGAACAGATGCCATTTGCAAACTTGGAACAAACTCCGCGGGTGAGAGAAGAGATATGGAGATCGGAGCACTGAAACCGCCTCTCTCCGTGATCCTGCCTCTGGCCGACGATTGGCCGACCAAACCCGTGGCCGGTATTAGAAAATTTCACAAATAAACTATGAACAGGTCATACACAATGGTTTTATTAATAATTATATAGTTAATTAATGTAATTTTAATGTTAACTATATAGTTACCAATGATTAGCAAGGGTAAATCTAGTGTTAAAATCATTATGCTCTGAGTTTGCAGGATAACAAAGGAAAAGCTCTTGGTACGATTTTTTTTTTTCCACAAGGAAGCATGATACCTATTCCCAATTGAAGCAATTATCTCAAGCACCCAAGCAATGCCACGTCAATGCCTTCTTCGCTCGATAGATGTAATCTAACAAAAAAGGAAGAAATCAAACTATGCTTACTCTTTCCTTGGATGGACTTCCAACACTGCCACCGGCTCTATTGGGATCTCCTCCTCCTCTGCTGACCTATGGCGAGACATAGCTTCCCACCCCTTCCTCTTCCTTCAATTCTGGGTGCTGGGACATGGCTGCTTGCTGATTACCCAGATAAGAAGCGCTAGGGTTTGCTAGGGCCTGCCACTGCATGGATTGTTTCACTTTCTCGCCACTGCTGGGATAGACCTGTGGATACGACACATACAGATCACTGCCACAACACGATTGAGCTTGATTGTAGCTGGGAGGCTGCTGTTGCTGAGTTGCCATAACTTCTTTCTTCCTCTCGCGTCTCTTCTCACATAAAAAGCACCACTTCAAATGAAATCAATCAATTGCAATGCCAAGGGCAAAACTATCCAAGTTTGTCAATCTCTCCTCCTTTGGATCAAATGTCTGACAAAATTTCCTCTTTGCAGGAGAGGAAAGAAGCATTGCAGTAAAGACTGGGTGAATTCTTGTGCCGGGACTCGAGCATCATGTTTGGGAAGTTGCTGTTTGATCCAGCTGAGCTAGAGAACCCTTTCAAAGCCAAGAACTTGACTAAGAACATCATCCACATCTGGCAAGGTGAAATGGGTTTCTTGGCGCCAATGGAGCTTGTCAACACATGCATCCAAATTAGAGCTGTTGAATGCCTATCATAGAGATATCCTGAATTAAGCAACTGATTAACACAAAGTTAATCACAGCTGTTGCACAATGCCCTGCAGTCTAGTTAACACGTTATATGTAACATGTGCATAGCACCTTCCTCTCTCACCCCAGATAGTTGGCCACTTATTCGCTAAGCTAAGATGTGGTTAAAGAAATATGACAGTTACCCCCATCGGACGGCTGCCATTGGCTGGATCCAGTGGCCCAGAAAGTTCAGCTGTTATGTTTAACTAATTACACTATATTTTGTAGAAATAATTATATATATAAATACATGTATTATATATGTATAATTATTCTATAATATTTCTTAATCTAACAGCTGTGATTTTATGCTCTTAAAATTTATCTAATTTGATTATAATAAAGCTTTAAGTTTTTAGGATCAAAGAACTTTAATTTAAAGTTTCTTCTATTTATTTTATAAAAATTATAAAAGAAGATTTTAAACTTATAACAAAGAAGTACACCTCGAACAAAACTTAAAAGTGACTTTAGAAAAATCATATTGTAACCCACTGATGTTTCATTTCACAGCTATGACTTCTTTCATTGTCAAGTCTGCCAAAGTTAGTTTCCAAAGCCTTGCCCTTCTCCATTGCCTTCTTGACAACCAGCATCTTGTGCACTCTTATGTATGCTGACATGATTTGTTATACAGGATAGCCAAAACAACAATCCCAGCAGTTGAATCTAACTCCTGCCACTCAGTGCCTTGGGTACTTTGGTGCCTGATATCGACCCAGGGTAGAAGTGAAATAATTTTGAAATTTTTATAAATTTTTTGGTAAAATTCCTCTCAATAAAGTATGTTTTATAAAACTTCCCACTGATGTCTACGTCTAGAAATTGCAAACCAAGGTGAAAACAATTTACATCTTCAAAATATAACGTCAGTACCCCACTGGAATATACTGCACGAGGATCGTCATCGCAGTGGATTTTCAAAACTTATGATATACTAGTTTTTAATATGCAAATAACCTCCCTTGTATAAATGCACCCCTCTCTAATCAAACTGCATCAATGGCATCCCTCCAAGCTTTTGCTGCTCTCTCCGTGCTCCTTGTTGGAATGGTGGCAGTGTCATGGTGGAAGCTCAGGGGTCGTGTGCAAACGGGCCATGTTGCGGTGGCGGAGGTGTCTGCAACTCCGGCCTGTGCTGCAACCAGTTTGGCTTCTGTGCAGTGTCAAACGATTACTGTAGCGTAGGCTGCCAGCAGGGGTACGGTAGCTGCTCCTGAATTGCAGTGCAACTGTAAAAGGACACCCCTTGCAACATGAAAGTTGCAAATAGTAGCTGTCTTCTATAATTCATGTAGCGTGACCATAAGTTCGTTTTCCAGGTTGTCATGAAGTAGAATCCTTTCCTCGTGTTACTGTCATATTAGCATAGATTAAGTGTTAAGTGATGATTCTTATTAAGTTTTCAACAAGTTGCTTCCTCCAGGAGATCGACTCGCCTTGGATTTGTTATAGCCGATTTTAAGCCGGAGGAGATCGAGGAGGCGGACTGGAAGGATGCATGCGTGTCTTATGAAGTTCCTATCAATAACCCTTGTGATCCATCCAATCCATTATAATTGATCGCACCACTTAGGTCCTTCAAAGTTTCTTCATATCTTGTACTAGAGCACACTTTTATGAAATCTTGCGCCTCCTCGCTCGTAGAAAGTGTACAAACTCACAAGATCGAAAGCTACTACCTTGGATTTGCTGTAGCCGATATTAAGGAGATACTTGCTGTGCTTGGCCTCACTCCACTCCTCCTTGGCTAGCTGCTGGAAATTGCATCTCTCCAAAACCTGTGAGCGAGAATCTCAATCAATCATATAACAAACTCACCACTATATCCTTCAAGGTTTCTTCATTTGTATTGTTCATCACCAAGCACACCTCTATGCAATCTCGCCGCTCCTAGACTCGATCTGTTTGGGGAGATCATGTCACATGAAACTGCAACCGATTGCGGATAGTATTCGAGAATTCGAGAGAGATTCCTGTCACGTTAGCAAGAGTTATTTACGTACAATCGAAGAACTGACAAAGGACTTAATGGCAGATTTTGGAGCGAGTTTTCTCTTGCAACATCTCCAGCGTCTCCTGCGCGCTGCTCCGGCAGTGGATCATCCCATTCGCACGCCACGCGATCTGGAGCTCCTCCAGCTTCCGGACCGCGTCCTCGATCTCGAAATCGCACGGCAGATTCACCTCGCTAATGAGTACTGCCTCGCATTGTCTCTTGAGCTCCTACGTACGGTAAATCCAAAGATCACACTCGCCCAAAACGTGTTCTTGGAGCTCCTTACCTCGGGTTTAGAGGCTGCATTGTGCTTGAGCAATCCAAAGAAGGCCACGACTGCCTCGTTCACCTGGAAAGTTATGGATTTCTATGTAAGAACTCAAGTTCTAAGCAATAGAATCTTATACAAACACCATACCTCTTGCTGAAGAACACTGTCACACAGGCAAAGAAGTGTCGCTGGGCCCGTATCACGTTGTTTCTCATAGATCTCCTTGGAGATCAGCTTCCCATACTCAAGAACGTTGGTCTGGAAACTAGAAAACCAAGAAAACATCGTCAACTTTGCGATGAACTTTAGACTATACTTACGTGTAGTAAACCTTGAAGGAATAGCTAAGAATCACAGCAAGGATTGAGAGGCCAAGCTTGACGCTGGATCGACCAAATGCTTCCCAGAGACCAACCTAGAAGTTTCTTCTCTCATTGTTTTGATGTAAAGTATTTGGGCAATCTTTGCTTACACTGGCAGCCACCGCAGAGATTGCAAGCTTAAACCACTCAATTTTTCCCAAGTGAGGTGTGGTTTTCTCGGGCTGGCAAAGAAAGATTTTGTCAATGCAGATGATCATATAACTTGAAATTTCTTGGAGCTCTTGTGATTTCTTACCACAACTATTTCCAAGTCGGCCATTGGGATATCTTTGAAGTGTCTAACGTGAATGCCATATGTGTACTCTTGCTTTCTCAATCTAAAATATTTTTGAATTTAAATATAAATGTTTCATAAATTTTTACCTGTACACAACCACAACTTGGCTAAATGTTGGTTCTTGTAGCTGCACTTTCTGGAAGAAATTCCTTATCCTGTTTATAATCCATGATTAGCTCAATACAAAGCTAGAGAGCGTAGGAATTGAAGACCCACTTAATATCCTCAATGTGGATTCTCTCAACGTACTGTATTTTGTATTCTCCTTCTTCAATGTCCCCTGGCGCCAATTCCATTGGCGAGCTTTTGCTCCATTTCGATGTCCAACTGACTCACCAATGTATCATAAGTTTAATTGGAACTTAAAATATCTTACAAGGGTTCCAGTAGAGTTCTCCACAAGCTCCACCATAACACGCTAAGCTTTGGCATAAAATAGAATCCTTTCGAGGTGTCGATCCCAACACCCCGGTGGTAAATCAAAAACTGCGATATTATTAGCATCGATTAAGTAGTGGTTAATAGTGACAAACTTACTAAGTTCTCAAACACGTTGTTTCTCCCAGGAGCATTTTGTAGCAACTGGTTGTCTAGCTTTGATAGTTTGATAGAAATCATTGATCAAGCTAGAAATCAGAAAACTCACAAGATCAAACTTTTAATACCTTGGATTTGTTGTAACCGATTTTAAACCGGAGGAGATACTTGCTGTGCTTGGCCTCGCTCCACTCCTTCTCGGTTAGCTGCTGGAAATTGCATCTCTCCAAAACCTGTCCATAAAATCGATCAAAAACCCAATTGATTTGGTAGTTTGTGTGTGCATAGATCTTGATCATACTCTGTGGAAGCTCTCGAGGAACTTCTTCTCTAAATCCCTCGCGCCAGGCTCCGAATCCTTGAGCTTGTTGGTTGCGTCCGTGGGATGGAAGCGTGTCTTGTGAAGTTCCTATCATAGTAACTCAGACCAATTCATGATAATAGATCACAAGCTCACCAGAAGATCCCTTGAAGTTTTTTCATTCATTTTGGCAATGTCGTCTCTCATCATGGAGCACACATCTATGAAAAATTGTGGCTCCTCGAGTCGATCTGTTCGTGGAGATAGATCATGATCATATCACACAAACTATAGCAAAATCGATTGATACCAGCTAGTTTTTGCACCAAAGTGGTGGTGTCGATCATAATCGCTGGTCCTCGCCGGACTCGCACCAATCTAGAAGACATTACACAAGATAGAAATCGTGAGTTCTCAAGTAAGTACAACCAGATCTATACTATAAGGATCGGAGCTTTTGCTACTACAAGCAAAACTTTTCAGTAGATTAATTCCTGCTTAATCTCAAAGCTAGCTGAATATTCCAGTGCTAGTATTAGATTAGAAGTAAAGATTCCAGTCGATTCTCCCACAAACCGCGCTAAAACTGACGGCTCAGATCCGCCAGGTTAAACAAAGATTCCCGCGCTAAAACCGACGGCTCAGATCCATAGAGCCTTTAACGCCCGCTAAAACCGAGGGCTCAGATGGGCCAGATCGATGGCCATCTATCCAACGGCTGGGCGCTGGTTTTTCTAGAATGTTCCTGAGAACCAAGCCGGCCGTTTAAAAGTTCCTGTGTAGGGCTAGGGAAGAAGAGAGAGAGAGCTTTAGCTATGGCAAAGGAAGGTCCGGCTGTCGGCATTGATCTGGGAACGACGTATTCTTGCGTCGGTGTGTGGCAGCATGATCGAGTGGAGATCATCGCGAATGATCAGGGTAACAGGACGACGCCATCGTATGTGGCCTTCACCGACACGGAGCGGCTCATCGGCGATGCCGCGAAGAACCAGGTCGCCATGAATCCCATCAACACTGTCTTCGGTGAGTTCCTAGTAGATCTAGCTCTCGAAAATCGCGGCTCTGGGATCTAGTTTCATGTTTCCTTCGAAATCTTAGATCTAGGATCTAGCTTGCATCTAACTTGCCCGAGATACTTGTTTCTTTAGCTGAAAGTTGAGCTTTTTCTTCCAGATGCCAAGCGTTTGATCGGGCGGCGGTTCTCGGACTCTTCAGTCCAGAGCGACATCAAGCTATGGCCTTTCAAGGTTACTCCTGGCGCTGCCGAGAAGCCGATGATCACTGTCCACTACAAGGGCGAGGAGAAGACGTTCGCGGCCGAGGAGATCTCTTCCATGGTGCTGACCAAGATGAAGGAGATCGCCGAGGCATTCTTGGGCGCCACTGTGAAGAACGCGGTCATCACGGTTCCTGCCTACTTCAATGACTCGCAGAGGCAGGCTACCAAGGACGCTGGTGTCATCTCGGGCATGAACATCATGCGGATCATCAACGAGCCCACCGCCGCGGCCATCGCTTATGGTCTAGACAAGAAGGCGACGAGCGCCGGCGAGAAGAACGTCCTCATCTTCGATCTGGGTGGTGGAACGTTCGACGTGTCGCTGCTAACGATCGAGGAGGGGATCTTCGAGGTGAAGGCCACGGCCGGAGATACTCACTTGGGTGGCGAGGACTTCGACAACCGGATGGTGAACCACTTCGTCCAGGAGTTCAAGCGCAAGTATAAGAAAGATATCAGCGGCAATCCCCGGGCACTGAGGAGGCTGAGGACTGCTTGCGAGCGCGCGAAGAGGACGCTCTCGTCCACCGCCCAGACGACGATCGAGATCGACTCTCTCTTCGACGGCATCGACTTCAACACCACCATCACCCGGGCCAGGTTCGAGGAACTCAACATGGATTTGTTCCGCAAGTGCATGGAGCCAGTGGAGAAATGCCTGAGGGACGCGAAGATGGACAAGAGCAGCATCCACGATGTTGTGCTCGTTGGCGGCTCCACCCGGATCCCGAAAGTCCAGCAGCTTCTCCAGGACTTCTTCAACGGCAAGGAGCTGTGCAAGAGCATCAACCCGGACGAGGCAGTGGCGTATGGAGCGGCCGTCCAGGCGGCGATCCTCAGCGGCGAGGGCAACGAGAAGGTCCAAGACCTCCTCTTGCTGGACGTGACGCCGCTCTCGCTGGGGCTGGAGACCGCCGGAGGAGTGATGACGGTGCTCATCCCCAGGAACACGACGATCCCGACGAAGAAGGAACAGGTGTTCTCGACGTACTCGGACAACCAGCCTGGAGTGTTGATCCAGGTTTACGAGGGCGAGCGGACGAGGACCCGGGACAACAATCTCCTTGGCAAGTTCGAGCTCTCCGGGATCCCTCCGGCTCCCAGGGGTGTCCCGCAGATCACGGTGTGCTTCGACATCGACGCAAACGGCATCCTCAACGTCTCGGCCGAGGACAAGACGACTGGGCAGAAGAACAAGATCACCATCACCAACGACAAGGGCCGGCTGAGCAAGGACGAGATCGAGAAGATGGTGTCCGAGGCCGAGAAGTATAAGTCCGAGGACGAGGAGCACAAGAAGAAGGTGGAGGCGAAGAACGCGCTGGAGAACTACGCCTACAACATGAGGAACACGATCAAGGATGACAAGATCGCCGGGAAGTTGGAGGCTGATGACAAGAAGAAGATCGAGGAGGCGGTGGAGCAGGCGATCCAGTGGCTGGATCAGAACCAGCTGGGCGAGGCGGATGAGTTTGAGGACAAGATGAAGGAGCTGGAGAGTATCTGCAACCCGATTATCGCGCGGATGTACCAGGGCGCTGGCGGAGCTCCGGGTGATATGCCCATGCCGGGCGCTGGAGCGTATCCGGGCGGAGGTGGCGGTGGCGGCGGCGGGGCTGGCGGCGCTGGGCCCAAGATTGAGGAGGTTGATTAAAAACCACACGAGTTTTTTTTTTTTTCTCGTTGTGGCAAACTTTGATTGGATCGATTCTATAATGCTATGATGGCAATCCATTTTTCTTTCCATGATTGCCTAGTGTTTGATAGATAAATGTTGTGTTGGATGCTGGGCACGAACTTTCATCAAGGTGGCTCTCTTACTTGCACCAGAGATATCTTTCCTGCAAATGTAAGAGGATTAAAGTGATTGCATAGCTGGTCTTAAACTTGATTGGTCCAACTGCCATATATGAAGATGTTGAGCACACTTTTCCTTAAACAATTTTAATAGTAAATATTTTTAAAAATTGTTTTAACCATTTTTTTTGGTATTTTCTTACTGCAATGGAGTTGTATTTAGTGCTAACATTAAAATATAGCATGTTATAACATTATTTAAAACCATAAAATTAATTATTAACTAGCATTTAAATAATTAATATTTTTGTTAAATATAATCTAGAAAACATACCACTACTTCTTCAAGCTTCTTCCATTCATTAATGTCGTTTTTGTATATTTCAAATTTTTGTTGGTAAGTAAGGGCCATAAAAAATAATTGATTTCTTTGCATAGTAAGAGTTCCCACCCAAATGAAATTTAAATGAATGGATTGAAAATTTTAAAAAATTACAAAAGTGTTTATAATATGTGTTAAAATGTAAAATTAAAGTCAAAAATAAGATTTAATTATTTAAACTATCATTAGCTAAGTTGTTGTATTGATAGTATCTTCATAACAACAAAATAAATAAATAAATAAATTTATAAAAAATATAAATAAAATCCACTTTATTCAAGTAAAATATTTAGGATGATACTAATATATCACAAGTGTGTGAAAAAATGTTAAGAAACTGTATGAGTAAAATTATTTATTATTATAAATATTACTTATGAGTTTTTTATTCATGCACTATAATATTAAAACTGATAAACTGATAAACTAATAATGTTTGAATGCTACAACACATTAATTAGATTTTAATAGTAAGCTATTTAATGATTCTTAATAGTTAAAGAAGATACTTTAGTTTCCATCTTTCTTTTTGGCTTTAGATTCAATGTTATTGAATGAACTTTATGTAAAGCACCAAACTACAGCTAAAACAATGTGTACCTCGTCTGTAGTTTCTCCAGTCTTGCGTTTAGCAGCATCCTGAGGATGATCCTCACTCTTCTCCTTCTCACTGCGAAGTAACGAAAGGTTTTGCCAGATTCGATCGATACACGCGAATGGAGGATCGTCCTCTACCTGTGAAGTGAGGATTGTGGAGTATCAGAGGCCAAAGTCTCTCTGTCTTCTTGAAGGACAAGCCACTCGCTGTTTGTGCTGTTGCCACTCCTGACTTCATCCTCTGTGACGCTCTCTGCAAATGCTAAATCAACGCGAGTAGGAGGGGATGTTGCTTGCACCTCTTGGTGTTGGGATTGAGCTCAGCCTCTGGAACTCTCTGGCTCTCTACGTCGTGATCATTGTCTTCGTCAATTTCCCAGCTCAGATCTAAAACTCTTAGTCTTAACAAGGTCCGATCGAGCTTGTTGCAGCTTATTCAAACGGTAGAAATAACGGGTCCAGAACGTAACGCTCATCGGAACTGGCAAAGCATCATAAGGTAGTGCGTCAAAGGCATGTTGAGAAAGAAAGCCCACGTATTCTTCCGTGAAGCTCGTGAATAGGCGAGTTTACGAGATGGCCGTGGAGAAATGGAAGTGAAAGTGTTTGAAAGATCTGGTGCTCCAAAGTCTCTTTTTTCATGCTTTATCTCTAGATCAATCATACTGCGAGGAACCGTGAGATGAAGAGGACTATGCCGTGGTTCGATCTCGATAAGAGGTGAGTTTTTTCTTAAGCAATTTACCGACGGATCGACTGAGACATCGCCACAGAGCTTGAGCCTTGAGCCTCTTGGACGCCGGCATCAACTTGTCCACCACTTCATCCTCGCCTCCCCGCCTTCATGGCCTCGTCCACCAGCCCCCCCCCCCTCCTCCCTCTCGAGATCCTCCTCAAGAGCTCACGCACTCCACCATCGTCCAAGCAGCTCCTCCTCCTCCAGCCACAGCAAGGGCTTGAAAAACTCTTTCTGCTCCTTCCAAGTCTTGAGGAACTTCTGGCTTTGATACAATCGATCCTTCTTTCTGCCGCTGGAGGTAGCACCGTGGTAGTCACTCCAGGAGTTCCACTTCGACGGTGCGGGAGGCCAAGAGCGTGATCCCATCTTCTCTTTTCGGCTTCATGCTGTCCAAGTTTTCCTTCACGGCTGCGGGACCAGGTCCGGTATCAGGACGGGGCCATTGGAGCTGCAAAGCTGCTGTGTCCGCCTTCGTCCATGCCAGGCAGGAGCTTCACCGCCTTCGTCGTCTTCTCATCCTTCTTGTCTCCACGCGCTCTACGATTCCAGCAATGATCTCCTTGCAGCTCCTCATGATCGACTGCGCCTCGTCGCTAAGCCCGAGACTTGGCACGAACTTCGAGCAGAGCTTGGAAGATTGTAATAGCAACTTAAGTTTTAAGGCTTAGGCGATTGTTTAAACTTTTAAATATAAAATCTCTCGCGGTCCGCCAAGAGCGGCAGTGATTTCTCGGAAGGGAGCTCCAACCGCTACTTCTCGACGATCTTCTTTAGCGACTGTGAGCACCAGCTAAAGGAGGTGAACGTAGCAGTGCTCGTGATTTGGCCAAAGGTCAGCCTCATGAGAACGATCTGTTCGTCGGTGAAGGACATAGGAGTGGATGAGAGAAACTTATGGCGGTGACTTTGAAGCTCCTGGATCACTGTCGAGGGGACACTTGCAAGAGATGGTCACGTCTTTGACACACCGGTTTGATTCGCTTCTCGAAAGGACCCTGCCGAGCGCTGTGTCCGGTGAAACTTGAAATGGCCGCCAGCCTTGTAAAACAGCAGCTTGACGTCGAGCTCCAGAGCAGTGGAATCCAGCCCGAGTCCAGCAGTCGCGAGTGACGGACGAGAATAAGTTTGGCACCTCTGGGCCGGGATTGATCTGCCAACCTCATCCGTGACTCTCTCCAAGGCCGTGTGGAGCTCGGACAGATCGCCTCCACCGGCATTGGAAACACATTACAAACTTTCTAGGGTTTATCAGCAATTCAACGGTCAAATTTTAGTATATTCTAACGCACTAAATCCTTAGAATATTCTTATTTAAAGAATATACTTTAGTGCAGATTGCTATCAGTATCCTTCTTCCAGATTGATTCAATGCGGCCTTATTGAATGAAGTTTATACTTACATGTAGCGCACCGAGACTACCAGATAGAATGCCAATGCGTCATTCCCACTCCCCCCAATCCTGAGATATAGAAAACACACACAAAAAAGAACTAGAGCTTTGACGATGGCAAAAGCTAAAACGATGTGTACCTCGTCTGTAGTTTCTCCAGTCTTGCGTTTCGCAGCATCCTGAGGATGATCCTCGTTCTTTGCGTCCTTCTTCTCACTGCGAAGTAACGAAAGGTTTAGCCCGAATGGAGGGTCGTCCTTTACCTGTGAAGTGAGGATTGTGGAGTCTCAGAGGCCAAAGTTTCCCTGTCTTCTTGAACGACAAGCCACTCGCTGCTTGTGCTGTTGTCACTCCTGACTTCATCCTCTGTGACGCTCTCTGCAAAAGCAAAATCAACGGGAGTAAAAGGCGGAGATGTTGCTTGCACCTCTTGGAAGCGCTGGAGTGTTAGGACTGAGGTCATCCTCTGGAACACGCTGGCTCTGATCATTGTCTTCGTCAACTTCCCAGCTCAGATCTTCCTCCACGGCATTTGCTCCTGCGCAACGAGTGAGTATCATATGAGAAACACTTACTCTTACTCTTAACAAGGTCTGCTCTAGCATCCTCCGCTTGCTGTAGCTTATTCACGCGATAGAAATAACGGGTCCAGAATGCCTCGTGGTCGACGCTCGTCGGAACTGGCAGAAAGTATCGTCAGGTCGTGTGTCAAAGGCATAGAAAGCCCACCTATTCTCGCGTGGATCTCTTGAATAAAAGGATTCTCTTCCATTAGAAGTTTTACTTCACCTTTCCTGCCATTAAGACTCAGTCAATCCGTTGCTGAATTGCTTAAGAAAAACTCACCTGTTATCGAGATCGAAGGTTGATTTCCATACGGCATAGTCCTCTTGATCCTCTGGTTCCTCGCAGTACGTGCTGTTGTCACACTGCAGTGCATGAAGCTGGAAGGAAGAAAAGCGTCAGCATTGGAATCTTAAGGAAAAAGCAACTTACTTGCGCCTCGTATCTTCTGTACATCCCCTTCCTTGAAAAAAAGACAATGATTGTTTTGATTTGCAACATACGAAACAGCGAAACGTACCCGCTGGAAAGAGGGGTGGAGCTAGCCTCTGAATTTTCAGTAACATCCTCGTCCACTTTTTTCACAGCTTCCTTCACTTGGCCGATAAGGTCCGCTGTTCTGCCAGGAAATAGTGTCAGGGCAATCACAGAAACAGCAGTGCTTACCCTCGCCAAACCGAGCTTCCAAAATCTTCGAGTTTCTGGCCAACAGCTTCAAGTGATTCCTGAGCAGCCAAGCTCCATCAAAAATCGTTTTGGTAGAAAGCTTTTCGATTTTACCTGAGCAACAGCAGCAGTGCTTTCCAAGGAAATTGGGAGATCCTTCACGGCATGAGCTGTGACCTCCGCAGCAACAGTGGTCTCTCGCTTTAATCCGATGCCAAACTCTTGCAAGTCACGCTGATACGCTTGCAAGACTTCCTCCGACTGAAAGACAACGACAAAGGAACAAGGAAAAGCTTTTAAGTTCACGCGAAACTTGCGAGAGCCTTACCTTGGACGTCAAAGACTTCACCAAGCTTCCAAAGCTCCAAGCGCTGCAGAGAATGGAACGACACAGCCATTAAGCTGGATAAATCCGCTGGATCGTGGCTCAAATTTACCTCGACTGCCACGAGTTAGTTCCTCCCTCCGATTGCTCCTGAGAAGAACGAGAAAACGAGGATCAAGCAGCTGGAAATCCCAAATGTAGACTGATTTGGCACGCGCCAGGTCGGATTTCTCCGGCAATTCGCATGCATGGGAGGCAGAATCGCGCGAGGCTACTCACCATTGTGGCGGGCGATGGATGGATCGCGCTCGAGCATGTCCCGCCCTCACAGTCGCTGCCCTAAAACCCCAACTTTGATAGAAGGACGCGCCGTGCACACTTGGATGGGCCAGAGGTCACAATCTTCCGTACAATAAATTGTTCTTCCTCTAGGGCAAGTTTGTGGAGGCGACGCAATCGATCGACCTAGGTATGAGAATGCAGCGCCAGATCTCGAGATAGATCGCGATCGCCGCATTGTAGAAGGATCAAGCAAGTCTTAGTTCTTTAGAGAGAATTCCAGGGGATTTCGACCACTTCTCGATCGTGCCGGGATCGCCGACAGGAACTTAGCTTTGAAGGATAGTGGCTTTCTGGGACGATCGAGAAGGAAGGAGGGAAAAAGGAAGCTTTGGACGGATCGATCTGGAAGAAAAGGAGAAGAATTAGACTCTTCTTTGGAAGATAACTTTTTGCTTGAACGCGGTGCTTTGGGACGCGACAACGATATTGCTTTGCTGCCGCTAGCTTTTCCAAGGCCCTGCGTTTTATGACACGGTGGTCCTCGTCCACGCAGCTCCACGTCAAAGGTAATCGCTGGTCAGCTTTTTCGCCGTGCAAACTTGAGAACTTGCAGCTCGAGGTAGAGTTTATCTTGTTCGTGCTCACTGAGTTCGCCGTCCACACAGGAAGTATCAAGTAAAAATACGAGAAAGGAGGATTTTTGGCTCGATGGCAATGCGAGGAGCAGCTGGTTCTTCGTTTTTCCAGAGCAGTAGCATAAGATTAGTCCAGCAGCAGCAGCGGCAGTGTCACAGGGATAGAAGCAGCGGTAAAGTTCTGCCTGTTAGAAGAGCAGCGACGATTAGAAGCAGTGGCAGCAGTGAGGAGAGCGTCCAAGCAAGAGATTTTGTGGCGCCAAGACCGAATTTGGAGGAGAGGCCTCCAAGGCTTTGCACTCTCAGAGCTTTCAGTCAAGATGGGGGCGACTCGGTGGCTATGGGGAGTGCGTGGGACTCGGCGACTATCACCTCTTCCTCAGCTTTTCTCAAGCAACTGGCGGCGAGTGTCCAAGCCACAGCTCAAGCGCAGGACTTTGAAACGCTCTCGGGTCGCTTTGCAATGGTGAGATCTTTGATCTGTTCTCTTCTTTTTTGATTTCCCATTCATTCGTGGTGTTTGTTTGATACAGGTTGCTTTCGCTGTGGCTTTAGGACTAGAGTTTGTGACAGGCAACAACGTGTTCAAGGGTATAGAAGTGAAAGAACTGGGTGAAACTTTAGGCTTCTCTGCAGCGTGTGTCATTTCCATGGCGGCTTTCAGTGCTGCTTGGGGGGCAAAGAAGCGAATCGGGCTCTACATGACAAAAGGCTGCCAAGATCTCGTCGAGTTCATCCTCACCGACACAATCGACGCCATTTTCTACGACCAAGACGATGACCCCATGAAGTTGTGAGTTAAAAATCTTACATTTAAAAAGCAACTTAGCAGACACAACGATCCTTGACACTTCCATCGAGTGACGAAAGCTTGGCGAGACTCTTCCCTCTAAATCCTGTGTGAGGGGATCTGAGCCCTTGCTCCTACATCCAGGGCTCGCAACTTCCAAGATCATCGCTAAGCACCTCCTTGCGCATGGACCGTATCATAGCTCTTCCTTCGAAAGCTCCGGTGGCTGATACAATCTCGTGGACTAGCCGGAAGGCTGACATAGTAAGTCTCATAAATGATACTTTTACCCTTGAAAACAGTTTTACTCTTTGAGGAGTTTTAACTGAGTTGATCCTTTACTCTAATTGCCATGAAATATTTATTACCTTTAGAAGTGCTCTACAGTGAGGCAAAAGATCATTCAAGCAAGACAAGTTATAAATTAGAATTCTAGCTTAAAGGTAAAAGTAATGATAAAGATATTAAAAAATTTAGGATTTAATAATAATAATAAATAATATTATAATTTATAAATACAAAATTAATCTAAATGAAAACCTAAAACACTTGTGAAAGTTATAATTGTTTTATATAAAATTTTGTATAGGGGAGATTTTGCAAATTGTGCTGCCCTCATAAAGGTTATTTTATTGCATGATAATTGCAATAACATCATTGCAGGTAAGGAAGTTAAACTAGCCCAAAGGCTAAATTATTAAATTGAAAGTTACACTAATAGGTACTAGTTTAGGTAAGTAGTATATTCACCTTCTTAATTTAGATAAAAATGTTTCCATCAATTAAATTAAACTTACTCAGTTTTTTAGTGCTCAAATTTGTTAAACATGTTTTCACATTGAAGGTTGAGTGGGGAAATATGTATTTCCAAATGGTGGAAGTCTTGGTTAAGCATATGTGATGAGCATGAACTAGAGATTGTATGACTTGGTTCAACTGCTACTTTACCATTAAGGAGGTTTATTTATCCTATGCAGGAAAGATTTTATGAGTTGCTGGTATGAAAGTCTATGAGGCTAAAAGTATTGGTTCTATTCTCATCAAGCTTAACAATGGCATTACACACCAGATTGACCATGTTTTCTATGTCCCAGAAATGCAGAAAAAATTTTATCTATGGGAAGCCTTGCTCATACTAGTCTTCAATTTTTGGACATCAACACGGTATTACTTTTTATCTTGATGGGATCAAGATGATGCACAGTAGCAGGTATGCTGATATTTACATACTTGATGCTATTTTAGTGTCTCCTCCTCATATATTATGGCCAAAGAATCTAAGATGCAACAAAAATGTATGGAATGAGTTATGTAGAAATATCACATACACTTAGGGATTGATTCCTGATCCTCTAGGAAAAGATCAAGCTTCTTTTACATTAAATCCTTCTTTTGTTAATAAAGTTATTAAGGATCAGTAGTCCACCAGTTAGGATAATTGCCTTCTAAGCAATAGATTACACAAAAGAATATTTGCAATAGTTACTCATTTTATGCACTAGAGAGTAGAGCATTTGGTATTTTAAAGTCCGTGGCATTTGGTGGACACTTCCACATCAAACAGAAAGTGGTAGTTCTGCACCATCAAGCTCCCATTCTCGTTGCTACTCTCACTAGCAATAATCAAGAGGCACGAGAGATCTAGTTCAGATCGAGAAGGTGGCGTCCTCCTTCGCATAAACCTTGGTGCTGTTGATATAGACACCATGGAAGTCTGGCTAGTAAAGATCCTTGATGCGTCTCGAGATCGGGGTGATTTTTGGGTGCTAAAATCGGGTGTGGAACCCGGAGGAGTATCAAGCTCGGGCAGAACGCCGGGAATGGATGGTAAATGTGTGGCATCGATGCTCCAAGCACAGCCCTGAACCTGGAAAGACCACACCGAAAGCTTACAAAGTCTACTTCTCTGGAAGTTCATACCTCTCAAAGGTGGTCCCTGAAAACGTATCCCGCCGCCAGGGGGCCAAACACAAGGTCAGCGTCGAGAAAGCTACACTGCGAGGAGGAGGAGGAGTGCCTGCGATTGATCATGTCTTGTCGATGGATCCCAGGCAGAGAATCAGCTGCCAGGGCTGGGGCCGCCGCTGCGCCGATAGGCCAGGAAATGGATTATCACAGCCGCCGCAGTCTCCAGCTTGCCCACGGCAATCTGCGCAAGGCTGACCTGCTCCAGCGTCGCAATCCTGGCCAGAGCATCCGCATTGATGATCTGCCAATCCAGAGCGACGACGAGAGGAATGCGTGATTCTAGTATTTGGCTTGCAAGTATTTACAATATCGAGAAAAGAATCGAACCCAAAACGTTTGTTTCGGGAGACCGATGTCCTAAATGACTGGTCTAAGCTGTTTTTGTGAGCTGGCGAACCAGAATAATGACTCCTTATTGAGCAAAAAATTTTAGCATAAAGTCCTTGTTGGTTGGACTCTTCGGCATCGAACCCGGGTCTTCTACAACGGTTTACCTCTACACTTACCTGATAGCCATCATCTCAGCAACCGGGTTCCAGTAATATAATACCATACCATGTAGCTGAACAATATGACCATATGACAGCGTTCTTGTTAGATCGCCCACCAGACGAGATTATCCCCCGCATTCGTGCTGCTCGGCGTTTCGTCCTGGCAAAGCCCCCTCTTGGATTGTGGAGTTAGGAGGACTGGAGGAATCGATCATCGTGGTAATGGATCGTCAGAGTTATGGCCTGGGTTGCAATAGAGCAATCTCCACAGCCGCAGGAGCTTTGCGATCTTCTGCTGGTGTGAATCTCATCAGTCCCAAAAACTCCACGTTTCGGCAATCCAACGAAACCTGTAGCGTGTGGCCATACAAACGAACATACCTCGGTATCATCCTCGGCTGCCTCGATGCCTGGAGAGTAACAGTCACCATCATTTGCCCGAAACGAAATAACAATGGATCCCTTTACATTCCCGCTGCCAGCCAAGTACCGGCTTGTGTAGAACTGACCCCGAGCCGGAGACCAATCCACCGGGGCTCTCCAAGTGATGCCGAGATCAAGCTCGCTGTGTGTGAAAGAGAGCCTGAAGAGGACGCGAGCACCCGACTTGGAGCAGGGTTGAGACTGAAAACACGACTGTCCACGAAGTTGATGCCTGTTTCTTCGCTGAGATCTCCAGCCAAGTGCTTCGCCAAGCTCTCCTCCATCTCCAGATAGACACTACTTGTAGTTGCGAGCGGGCACTTGCCTACCAGCTTTGAGCCAAACATCCTGGAGAGTGTCCAGTCTTTCAGCTTTCGCAAAACAACCGTCAAGGTTTGCTCCTGCCTTCTTCGTCCCGATCGAAGTCACAGGAAGTGATAAGCAGCCTCTGGGAATGGTACATACCACTGTAAATCGTCTGCCTGTCCAGGAGCGTCGTGAGCCCAGCCTTGCCTCTACACGGGAGAAGCGTGAGCCATGGCGTAAGGTTCTCCGTACAGAGTGCTTCTCTCGGGAGTGCTCCATACCTCGTCATCGAGCTCTTGCTCCATTTCTTTCCTTTCACCACCCTCTTCATGCCAGGAGCGTCGAAAGCTCCTCCTCCTCCTGTCCGGTTTGCCTCGGGCCTCCACGAGAACCACGGCTCCAAGAACGTAGTTGGCGATTCGAGGAAGTTGATCGATGCGCAAAAGAGGCCCGAGAGAGCGTGCGTGAGGTTTCCCCACGTCGAATCCACCTTTGCCTCTGGAAATGCCGTGAGCTCCACTCCCACTGCGGCGAGCTGCGCGATCGGATCGCCCACGCCCCAGCGCTCGTTGTTCCCTCGCCCTTGCGTGAAGGAGAGCTCCATTTCTTTGATTCGAAACTTCCGGACCTCATCATCGTTTCGGGATTTGAGGACTTACGAGCTGGAAGATCGAAAAGAAAGGGCAAAGGAGGATCCATTCTTTAGGGTTCTTCCAACCATAAGAATGTTATGGACAGTAGCTCCGATTTTACCTTCGACCACTGAGAAACGTACTTGGAGTAGAGTTCGCACCTTTGGAGGGCATTGAGATCACTCTTCTGAAGGCCATGAGTGTTTGCACTGTGCTGGGAGATTCTCTCCAAGGGCAAGTAAATCTGTGCTTGAATTCTTTCTAGTAGTTATGGCACTAGCATTTTACCGAGTTTATATGTATGGAAAGTGTGGAGACGCATTTGATTAAGCAGGATGAAATACGATGATCACTGTCTACGTGTCGCATGAGTGTGGTAAGCAAGCAATCCACCTCTATGCATACTTATGTCTAGAAGTTTAGCACATATATTGGCACGGAAAGTTGCAATAGACATTTGTGATAGAGCCGGGTTCCAGAGCATAACCCTAGGAAGGCTTGAAATCAACAAGATCACCTTCTCATGGTTTTAGATGCTTGTTTTAATCTTGAAGTTCTTTGAACTGATAATCACATTTACAAGTTTGTAGTTGGTTGTGGGTGGAAAATTTATAGATTAGTATGTATGGAAAATGCAGGAGTCTCTTGATGCATAGGATGTGCTTGACAGCATGTGCTATAAAATAAACGTGATCACTTGATAGTAGCCTGAAAAGATATTACTAAATAAGAAGAAAATTTATTATAAGAATTTATCAACATTAAATCATAATTAAAAAAAAGAGTTTAAATTGATATAGAATATACCTGAATATTCTAGGCATATCCTTACACCCACTATTCTTAAAATATTTTCATAAAATTTAATTCTAGGTTTAATGGTATTAATTTAAATTTTAAGTTTACAGGCTCAATCCAAAGGCTCTAATTATTAATATTTTTGTAATTAGTATTACAAAATAGAATTTAAACTATTTATTCTAGAATTTAATTATCAGAGACTACCGTAAATTTCACCAACTTAAAACCAAAGACCATCCAACATTAAAAAATTACATATCTTATATATATATACACACACACACACACACACACACACGTACACACCAAAATAATTTCAATATTAACAACTA